CGACTGTTAAAAAATTATATATATATATAATATATATATATATATATATATATATATATATAATATATAAAATATATATATATATATATATATATATATATAATATATTATATATGGACTTCCAGCAAGCGTGCGTGAGCGTGTTAGATAGGAGTGAATGGAGACGAATGGTACTTGGGACCTGACGATCTGTTGGAGTGTGAGCAGGGAAAATATTAGTGAAGGGATTCAGGGAAACCGGTTATTTTCATATAGTCGGACTTGAGTCCTGGAAATGGGAATACAATGCCTGCATTTTAAAGTGGGGGTTTGGGATATTGGCAGTTTGGAGGGATATGTTGTGTATCTTTACATGTGTATGCTTCTAAACTGTTGTATTCTGAGCACCTCTGCAAAAACAGTGATAATGTGTGAGTGTGGTGAAAGTGTTGAATGATGAAAGTATTTTCTTTTTGGGGATTTTCTTTCTTTTTTGGGTCACCCTGCCTCGGTGGGAGACGGCCGACTTTTTAAAGAATATATATAAAATATATATATATATATATATATATATATATATTATATATATATATATATATATATATATATATGTATATGTGTGTGTGTGTGTGTGTGTGTGTGTGTGTATGTGTGTGTGTGTGTGTGTGTGTGTGTGTGTGTGTGTGTGTGTGTGTGTGTGTGTGTGTGTGTGTGTGTGTGTGTGTACCATGTTCAAAACTTGGTAAACATGTTTTGAATATGGTGAACATGAAAAAAAAATAGATATGATGGCATGGTGATTGTTTAGGGTTTATTGCTGGCAATGTAAAATAAGTAAAGGTTATTGTAAAAAGAGGAGGAGTGGTCTTTTAAGATAATGTTTATCTGATGTTAGGTGGGAGTTGTCACAGTTGCTCTTTCCTGATGACGCTGTGCTTTTGGTACATTCTGAAGATAAGATGACTACAGTTGGAAAAGGGATTTCGAAGTGTATAAACAAGTATAATGAACCCAGAAAAGTATTAAGATGATGAGATTGAGATGTCTAGGGAATGAAAGATTAAACGTCAGAGTGGAAGGAGAATGAAGTAAAGTTTAGATTTCCAAGAGTGCAGACGAGTCTATGAAAGATGTGGGGAGAGAGCGTGAGTGTGTTTAGACTAGAAACAAAAATGTATTTCATTTGATGCAAAAGGTATATTGATACTGGTAAATACACATGTACGAGTATGCAAAACATGCCACAAGTGGGGGGGGGGGGAAATCTTCAACTTAAGCACTTACGCACGCCTCCGTGCGTCATCAGGAGCTATGAAATGTGTAGAGCTGGTTGTTGTCACCACGTTACCCTACTAAGAAAATCTCCCCTCATTCCTCATGCTGCTACTCTTGCAACATTACATAGCTCCTGATGACGCACGGAAACGTGTGAAAGTACTTGAGTGGGTGTGGGTGGGTGTGAGTTGAACCTGACTAGCTTGTGCTGCTGGGTCTGGTGCAGTGCTCCATCCTTGAGTGGAGGTGACCAGACTGGGTGGGTCATTGGGCTAATCCGGGGGGGGTCATTGGTCTAATCCGGGGGGGCATGGACCTGCTCCGCATGGGTCAGTAGGCCTGTTGCAGTGTTCCTTCGTTATGTTCTTATTTCCATCCCCCGTGCCTTGTCTTGCAGTGTTAATTAAGATCGCCTGTCTGCGATTGTATTGCATGTACGAGTATGTTGGTGAGTGTGAGGCAAGGCTTTAGTGTGTGGCAGTTAAGACGAGACTGGGAGAAGTGGGAATGTCATGTCCAAAATCAATATGTCGTCTAAATATTGTGCAGAGAATAAAGAGCGAATAAATTAGAATACGGTGTGATATCAATAGTTTAATTGAGGGAGAAGAACAGGGGGCTGAGATGATTTTGTCATTAATGAAGGAAGGTTGATCAAGAGCATAAATATGGTGATAATGGAAGGTTGTGTGGGTGACGTCCAAGGGTTGGAAGGCATACTATTGAAGTGTGAACTTCAACAACATGCCTTGAGTTTTAGAGGTAGGAAGTACGGTGTATATGCTTTGAAAGCTGCTCGACCATCGACCATCACAGGTTTACCTATCCCCCTCTATACTTCCACCCTTTTCCCCCTCATGGTTTCCTCTCTCTCACTACTTCCACTATCTCAGGTTTTCCACTACCACTGCCTCCACCCTCTCATTCCTCCTGCCCGATCGCTATCACGTCGTCTCCTCCCCTTCCTCATATATACCCTTTTTATCGCTTCATGCTCCCTCTCTCCATATTAATTTACCACTAATTAAATGCTGCAGGAAGACTCGTGCGTCCCAGGAATGTCCTGTCTGAGCTGTGACACTTTAAGAGTCAAGCATTTGTGACACTCAACTGACACTTAAAAACTAAGCACTTGTATTTGTGAGGTGTCAGTTTACTCCACTCTTATGTCGTTAGTGTCAAGTTTCCCGTCACCCCTTGTTGCCAGGTAGTATCTGCTTCTCTCTTTCTCTGGTGAACCAAAAATGTCATAAGATATTTCCTCCACTCTCCCCGGAAAGTGTCAACTTTCCCCTCCTTGCAACCTGAAATTGTCAACTCTACCTTTCCCACTTTCTCGTTATTAACAAACTGTCACCCATCCATATCTATCAATCAATCTATTTCTCTCTCTCTCTAAGGAAGTACACATCTCCCCAGCCTTGATTCTAGAAAGTAACTCTTCACTCGTCTTTGTACCAGAAACTCAGGACCATCCCCGTGTCACCCTTCTCTTTCATCACCACTGTACAGTGGCAGGCTTCCCCACCTCACCACAACTCGAGTGTGTGCTAATCCACTACAGACCTTGACAAAGACATTATATAATATTCATGTGAAGGGCTCAACACGTAGGAGTCACCCCGTGCCAGGGAAATGGGAAGTAATCAGAGTTGAAACAAGAAAAGGGAGGGTACCTCTAATTCCTTGGAGACAAAGACAACAGTGGTGTGGTGACCCAGAAAAGGAGGACTCTTGTGACCGAGTAAAGAAATGTTTCTTACGAGCTTCCGAGTTAAATCGGAAGCTTCCATAGTGAAAAGCTCTGTTCCACAAGGCACAGTACTCGCCCCCAGCCTGTTCCTCATCCTCATATCAAACAGAGATATAATCCACAGTACCGTGTCATCTTTTACAAACGATACTACGATCTGCATGAGACTGTCATCTATTGAGGACGCGGTTAACCTCCAAGAAGATATAAACAAAGTTTTCCAGTGGGCAACGGAAAACAATATGATGTTTAATGAGGACAAATTCCAACAACTCCGTTATGGAAAACTGGAGGAGATAATTAAAACAGTATACTACAAACTCTGATCACACAATAGACCAGAAAAATAATGTGAGGGACCTGGGAGTGGTAATGTCTGAGGATCTCACTTTCAAGGATCACAGCAGTGCCACGATCACAACTGCAAAGAAAAGATAGGATGGATAATGAGAACGTTCAAAACTAGAGATGCCAAACAAATGATGATCCTTTTCAAATCACTTTTTCTCTCTAGGCTGGAATACTGTTGTACATTAACGTTCCGTTCAAAGCAGGTGAAACTGTAGATCTAGGGAGTGTACAGAGAACCTTTACTGCACATATAAGTTCATCAAACACCTCAACTACTGGGAACGCTTGGAAACACGGCTTGTACTCGCTGGGACGCAGGTGAGAGATATATATCATAATCTACACTTGGAAAATCCTGAAAGGAATGGCCCCGAATCTGCACACACAAATCACTCCCTACGAAAGTAAAAGACTGGGCAGGCGATGCAAAATACCCTCAATGAAAAGTAGGGGCGCCACTGGTACACTAAGACTTGAAAACACCATAAGTGTCCGGGGCCCAAGTCTGTTCAACAGCCTCCCACCAAGCATAAGGGGAATTACCAATAAGCCCCTGGCTGCCTTCAAGAGGGAGCTGGACAGATACTTCAAAGTCGGTGCCATATCAAGCCCTGATCCACCGGGAGGCCTGGTCGTGGGCCGGGCCGCGGGGACGTTGATCCCAGGAATACCCTCCAGGTAGGCACAAACCCCTTGTATGTCATTTAGCAGCGTGTACGGTACTGAAGTCTTGATCCTCCGTCATGGTAATATTCCCTCCATGTTGAAGCATTATTCGGTAGTGCGATGCGAATTAGTGAGTGATAAGAATAAATGCTCCATATTCATGATCCTCTTAGTTGCTTGCAGCTGTTAATTTTAAAATACCACTTATTAATATGGTTAAATACAATCTGGTGAAATTCACTTACTGAAAGGATAAGGCATTTATTACTCGCATAAACAACAAACGTAATAGTTATGCAAAACCTTCCAGAAATAACAAGGGAATACCATATTAATTCCTTCGTGGAAGTAATCAATTTCTCATTCAATTACTGCTGATTACAAGGGTCTAAAATGTAAACTTGCTGTTTCACAATCATAGTTAATTAAATGCAACTAATGAATGTAAACTGTAAACTGTTCAATTTCTCGGACAAATTAAAAATCTTGACAATCAAACTATTCGAAAAAAAAATCCACATGTCTAGAGCTGATTAGATAACGATGACGTTGGCAATACCTGTTTTTAAAAACATCCAAAACTAAATTCATTAACACCAAATACACTGATGATCAATACATTCTGAATAAACTACACACACATTCTAAACGCGGTACATCTTAACTGCATTATACAGACGTATGTACATGTACAAAACACTAGACAGCACCAGGGAGCACGTTTACTATTTGGTCCGCAGTGACGTGTATTTGTGGCATTTCCTGACATTACTACAAGACAGCTCGAGATTCAGGAGCAATATATCGAATCACTACTACTACAGCTCATTAACAAGCCCTCGGAAGGAACAACGACCTAATTAATATTACAATACCAGTTTTTGATACTATATACTTCAGTGATACAAGTGTACAAGATGACCAGGACCAGTGGGAGCATGAGTCCTCAAAAGTAAAAGCTATGTGGGATACTTACTTGGAGTGCTTCTCGTTGAGAGATGCTCGTCCACCATGGCTTCTTGGCTGGGGGATGAAAGAGCTACTGCCGTTGGCTGGTGAGGTAGAGCGGCTGCTGCTGGCTGATGCTGCAGTCTTCAACTGAGAACCTGCACCAAAAGAAAACGGGAAGTTAATAGAGAAACGGGAAGACAATAGAGTTGCAAGGCCAACTAGCAAGTTTCTATCATAGTTTATCACTATCGTAAAAATATTAAATCACGATGAAGACATACATCAAATTTGGTAACATTCTAGTTCGAAATAGGAAATGAGTAGAATAATCAAAGTGTTCTTATAGTATCCCCACTTCAGCATAGCATAATAAACAAACGAAGTTTAATTACTTCGCTTCTTCGTCAAAGAAAAATATTTGAACAGAAAACCACAGTTTTAACATACCAGTTTCCGCTCTAGTTATCCAAGCCATGCCATGAGTGAGATCATAATATAGCATCACTCCACTTCAGGCTTGTTATTCTTAAACATAATATGTTATTCAGTCCAGGGAAACTGCCATGCGGCAAGCCATCATGTCACCCAGTGATGATATTTAAAGTTGCTCTAGAATGCAAGCACACATGCTACCCACAAATATAATTACACACACGTACACACATATACACCCCCTTACACACCACCCACACACTTCATCCATCTGCTCCCTGCTGCGCCTATCCTTGGTATTGATCACAGCCAGTTACACCGATCGATTAGTGACATTCAATTTCATCAACATTACAAAATTGTGAGCACAGGTGGGAAGGGGAGAGCGCTGCAACCCAACATTAAGCATGTAAAGAACAATACTGCAGTAAATATTATGCAGGATATATAAAAGCAGGGGAGTAGGCAGGGGAAAAAATGCAGTACCACGACGAAACTATCTGCCGTCTGCATATTCATATTCAAACGGCAGCATAAAAAAAAGAGGACTTGCATGAAAACAAACACGAAATGTTCATACACAATTCTATTATGAAAATTTAAATCACGGAGGCCGATTTTTTATAAAGGCTGGTACTAGGCTTAGTAACGGTAGTATTTGTAACATACCATTATTACTTAAAACTTTAACACATCAAACAAATCATAATTTAATATCAGTTTATCATTTTAATGCAAATATAACATCTTTAAAAAGTAACACTAGGATAGTGTTCCACTTATATAGTAGGGTGATACAAACTGGGTAGGTAATGGCATGACACGATGGTAAGGAGACAAATGTAGTTACATGTATATGTAAACTTTACTAACAACGTTTCGTCCACACAGTGGACTTATCAAGTCACTTGAAAAGCCCATGTTTAATAGACTTGTTCTTGCATCCCACTGCACATGGTGAGGGGTGTTAACTGGTGTAAAAAATAATTTAATAATGGCTTTTTCAAAATAGTTAATTATACGTTCATTCTTCGTGGTTTCCTATCATCGTATTTTCATAAAAAAAATATGCGTAAGGCCGGTGGTTAAATATAAGACACTAAAATATAAGACCCATTACCGACATCCTGGTATTTATCCACTCTGGATATGGAGTCTCTCCAGCGTCGGTCCTTGGAACTACACTATAATTAACAAGGTGTGTTGATAAGATAGATCGAAGGGATAATAAGAACTTTTCAATGGAAGTATACCTGGAGGGTGTTCCGGGCATCAACGCCCGGTATTAGTATTATATTCATGAGCAAGCGCTTAACCCTCATGGCCATGATTACATTTGTCAAATACCTTTGTAAAATTCTTGTGCACAATATCAACATTTTAAATTTCTAATTTCTCTGAGTTTCTCGTAGTGGCTGTAAGAGACAGGAACTTGTACCTTTGGCATACCTTTGATGAGTTTTTAGTTTCCTTACTCCCGCTGCCCGGCCTAAAGCCACGATGACCTGGGTTGTCAAATTCATGTTACTCCATAAAAAATGGTGATTAGCCACCTTAGCAGCTTCAAAGATTTTTCTTACCAGTCATGCCAGTGGCCTCTAGCATCAACCGTCACCTCACACTAGTACAACCACCCCCATCCCCCACCCTTGCATTACCAATACAACCACCACCACCCACACTTCCACCTCCCCACCCTTGCATCACCAGTACAACCATCACTCTGGCACCACGACCACCGTGTACCTAAAGGCTGGACTAGGGATGGTCCAGGTTTTTATGAGAGGGTGGACGGTAGAGGGCGAGTGACGTGGGAAGAAGAAAGTCACCGCACAGCAGGGGAAAGAAACATTAATATTGGTGGCTTTTATGCAAGGGGGAGACGGCTGTTTTGTGACTCATCTCAATAAAATCATTCTTGGTTGACTGGGTGATTGATAAATTGGCTGATTTCGTTTAATGATTAGTTAACTTCATTAATAGTTGAGTGGATGTCAGTAGATGTAGTTAATGCTTTGATATTTCATTGAAATTATTTAAGAACAAGTTTTTTATGCCAAAGTCTCGCTCGGTGTACATCATTTACATCCAAGGATATATTTATGAATACAATAAAAAATTAATTCACAAATAAACGGATGGCTGGAAGAATAGGCAACATGAGAAGCGTAGAAGGAAATCAGGGGAAGTGTGCACAAAGCCTCAAAACATCAATAACTAATTCGTCACACGTAAACTGACTGACGAGGCTCGAGTCTGGAGGCTTCCCTAGAGTATTATCAGGTGCGTCTAACTTGAGAGTGTATTAACCTGGACTAAATGCGATTAGATCGGAGAGAATCAGCTGACCAGATCACCATATTTTCTTGATTAGTTTGCTAAGGACAGAGCCTATTTACTGCACGTGGATTAAGGTTAGGTTGGGTTACCTGGTTACCTGGAGGTTATTCCGGGGATCAACGCCCCCGCGGCCCGGTCCATGACCAGGTCTCCCGGTGGATCAGGGCCTGATCAACCAGGCTGTTACTGCTGGCCGCACGCAGTCCAACGTACGAGCCACAGCCCGGCTGATCCGGCACTGACTTAAGATATCTGTCCAGCTCTATCTTGAAGGCAGCCAGGGGTTTATTGGTAATTCCCCTAATGCTTGATGGGAGGCTGTTGAACAGTCTTGGGCCCCGGACACTTATGGTGTTTTCTCTTCGTGTACCAATGGCGCTCCTACTTTTAATTGGGGGTATTTTGCATCGCCTGCCCAGTCTTTTACTTTCGTAGGGAGTGATTTCTGTGTGCAGATTCGGGACCATTCCTTCCAGGATTTTCCAAGTGTAGATTATATCTCTCTCTCTCTCTCCTGCGTTCCAACGAGTACAAGTCAAGTGCTTCCAAGAGTTCCCAGTAGTTAAGGTGCTTGACAGAACTTATAAGTACAGTAGAGGATCTCTGTACGCTCTCAAGATCTGCAATTTCACCTGCTTTGAATGGAGATGTTAATGTACAGCAGTATTCCAGCCTAGAGAGAACAAGGGATTTGAAAAGGATCATCATTGGCTTGGCATCTCTCGTTTTGAACGTTCTCATTATTCATCCTATCATTTTCTTTGCACGTGTGATCGTGGCACTGTTCTGATCCTTGAAACTAAGATCCTCAGACATTACTACTCCCAGGTCCCTTACATTATTTTTCCGCTCTATTGTATGGCCAGAGTTTGTAGTATACTCTGTTCTAGCTATTATCTCCTCCAGTTTTCCATAACGGAGTAGTTGGAATTTGTCCTCATTGAACATCATATTGTTTTCCCTTGCCCACTGAAAACTGTTTATATCTTCTTGGAGGTTAACCGCCTCCTCAGCAGATGACAGCCTCATGCAGATCCTAGTATCATCCGCAAAGGATGATACGGTGCTGTGGTGTATATCTCTGTCTATGTCTGATATGAGGATGAGGAATAAGATGGGGGCGAGTACTGTGCCTTGTGGAACAGAGCTCTTCACTATGGCAGCCTCCGATTTAACTCTGTTGACCACTACTCTTTGTGTTCGATTTGTTAGGAAGTTGAAGATCCATCTCCCCACTTTCCCAGTTACTCCTTTAGCACGTATTTTGTACGCTATTGCGCCATGATCGCATTTGTCAAACGCTTTTGCAAAGTCTGTGTATATTACATCTCCATTCTGATTTTCTTCCAGTGCATCCAAGGCCATATCATAGTGATCCAGTAGTTGTGAGAGGTAGGAGCGACCTGCCCTGAGCCCATGTTGCCCTGGATTGTGCAGATTTCGGGAATCCAGGTGATTTGCAATCCTGCTTCTTAGCACTCTTTCAAAGGTTTTTATGTGGGACGTCAGAGCTATTGGTCTATAGTTCTTAGCTAATGCTTTGCTGCCACCTTTATGGAGTGGGGCTATATCCGTTGTTTTAAGTGACTGTGGAATTTCACCCATGTCCAAGCTCCTCCTCCATAGTGTACTTAGGGCACGCGAGAGGGTTCTTTCAGTTCTTAATGAATAAAGAGTTCCACGAGTCTGGGCCCGGGGCTGAGTGCATGGGCATGTTGTCAATGGCTTTTTCGAAGTCTATCGGAGTTAGAGTAATGTCGGAAATGTGGCATACATTTATGGAGTTATGAGGCTCATTCATGAACAAATCATTTGGATCGTCGATCCTCAGACTGATTAGTGGCTCACTAAACACAGAGTCGTACTGGGATTTCAGTATTTCACTCATTTCCTTGTTGTCATCTGTGGAAATCCCATCGTGTCTGAGTAAGGGCCCGAAACTAGATGTGGTATTTGCCTTGTTTTTGGCATATGAAAAGAAATATTTCGAATTTCTTTCAATTTCACTAATAGCTTTAAGCTCCTCCCGTCTCTCCTGGTTCCTGCAAGAGTCATTTAACTTAAGTTCGATAGTTTCCGCTTTCCTGGTCAGCTCCTCCTTTCGTGTATCAGATATTCTAGCACTCCTGAGGAGCTCAGTGACTCTTCGTCTTCTGTAGAGGGAGCGTCTTTCTCCAGTTTACTCCTGCTCCTCTTCTTTCTCAGGGGAATATGCCTAGAACATGCTTTAGCTGCCCGGAAGTTGATCTTTTCAGGGCACTGGTTTGGATCCATGTCATCTGGGTCAGGGAAGGTTTGTCAGAAAACAGGACAAGTGTGCCGTGAGGTAGGTCTTAGTCATATGATGACCCGCAGCTGAACCTTTTGGTCATCTGACCGAGGC